GAAGAGCGACGTTAGGAATACTGATGGCGCGTCGGATGAAAAGAGATGGTCCTGCGAACCTGTTCCCGCAACAGCGGAGAAGAAAGATGCAAAATCCAAAGAGAAGCTCGCGAGAAAACCAGAAGCCAAGGAAGTCGTCCGCGAGAAAAATTGGCACGTGTAAGTTTGCTCTTACATCCCGGATCAATTTATCTCTCACTCGTGAGTCACAGATATATATACGCGTGCATTGAGCGATTCCGGTAGTTATTTTCCTTATCAGTCTCGTGCGCGCGGATGCGTGTATGTACGCAATTAGTTTTCCAGTGACGACGAACAAGTAATAATTAATTTAACGCATTCATTCGTAATCATCACGCAAATATGATATGTTCTTGACTATTTCTCTAGATTGCCATTGCCGGAGAAGTCCGCACCGAAGACCTTTTACTTTGGCATGGACGAAGCGTTGTCAAATGAGTCCCGAAATTGTGTGGATCAACACATGGAGCAAATCCAATCTAGGTTACAGTCCAGAGAAATCAATGGATCAATCGAATGTCATGACTACACGGACGATGTGAGTAACATGTTTCTGTTATTACTATAAATGTTCTATAAATAAAATTACAAGATCATTATTTGATTAAAAAAAAAAGTTTAAAGATTTTTAACATAAATGCAATTTTTAGGGGAAAAGCGGAACCGAAGACATTTCATTAAAATTACGACCTACGTTACCTAAGAAACAACTAGAGATTCCGCGATTTTCACCATCAGCAGCATGGAGATTACTGTCGGCTTTAGAAGCACCTGGCCCAACCATGAGCACAGCGAGCGAGGAAATTCCGGTAAATGCGCAAAGAATTAGAATATCTTGATAATTAGCAGTAAATAGTTAACAAGAACTGCGAATAGAACTGAAGAGATGTAAAATATTTAAATCGCTTCTGGTTAAACTATTAGATTGTTTGATGTTAGGTGATGTTCGAGGAGCGTATCGAACGTTTGTCGAGGCCGCCTCCGCCGCTGATTGCGCTTGGTCCGCGAAGCTCGCACGATAAGTCGGGCGATTCCGGCATATCCGGAGACGCTGGTGCGGCCAATGACGACTCGTTGGATGTCAGCACCAATACCAACAACAACCGATTGAAGACGCCAGCGACGAGACCGACATGGACCCCGCAGCAGGACTTAGGCGAGGAGTCTAGCAGTGACGCTGGGGTAGATTCGCCGCCACCGATGCCAACCCCAGTGAAATTCCCGCCCAGGGCGCATGTATTCTCGTTATCATTGCCGCGCGACGACAATCGTATGTATTTGTATAACCCGGATTTGAAGAAGGAGGGCTCGACTTTTAACTCGCTGCAGAAACTGAAGAGATCAGTGTCGGGCGCCCTCGGACTCGGGCCGCTGGACCTAGAGAGGAAACGTACTCGCGATGTCCTCGACGATAACTGGCTGCTGTCAACAAGTGCCCCGACGTCGTTGCAGCACACTCAGATCACAGATGTGACACGATCCTCGCCATCCGGCTGGAAACCTGACTTTGATGACGAGGATGATGACGAAGTATTAGTGGAAGACTTAGAAGATCGCGGCGATTTTCCCGTGATCATGAAACCGCCCTCGTTTTCGTATTTAGCTTCTGGTGGTCATGTAATGTACCTGCCCGAGTCTAATGACTCTCATTATCAGACGCAAAGTTTGAGCTACAGAAGCAACATGGCGGCGGAAAGTGAGAAGAATTCCGGTAACAGTTCCGGATCAAAGTATCGCAAAAACGGCGTGGATGAACTCAGGAAATCGAGCAAGGATATAGAGAAAACGAACAAGCATTCCAAAGAATCAGTCATGTTAAAAGAAAAGTCTTTTGCGAACGAAAAAGTGAATAGATTTTCCAAATCATGTGAGAACATTTCCGAGATGAAACAACGAAGTACTTCGCCTATCGGTGACCAGCAGAATTTGCAGGATGATAAGGAGATTGCTTTAGAAATCAAGACACCATTAAAGAGCAACTCGAAAAGTCGTAGATTCACATTCCAAAGTACTGTGCGGCAGATTGAGAGGCGCAGATTGGCGGAGAAGTTATCGCGAGAGGCGGAAGCCAAGGAAAGACAGAGGAAAGGCGAGCTGGAGGCGATGCGTAAAGTAGAAGAGGAGTTTCAACGAAAACGAGCCAGAGAAAAGGCGAATATTAGGCAACAACTTCGCTTGTACAGCATGGATGAAAATTTGAGGTAAGCTTTTAAATTTATACTTGAAATTAAATGTTTAGAACTCGCAGATAAAATGTTTAAGATGTTATCTAAGCTTATTAGATATGAAAAAGAAGTAATTTTTTATGAAAATATAATGTCATTTAAAGAGCTTTTTAAGATGTAGACAGATGTTGTTTAATTATTAGAATTATTTTTAGGAATATTTGCTATTAACAATCTATTTCAATTACAGTAGTTTACCCACAGTGTGGGACAGCTCTCAGTTATCTCGTGCGGACCCGGACGGCGCGCCATCGTCATCCGCGTCGTCACCCACGTCAGTCCCACCGGCAAAACTGACGACTATACGAAAGAGCAGCGTCAGTAGCGATGAGTATTTGCGTAAAAGAGCGTCCAGCGTGGATTCGAGACAGCAGCAACAGCAACAGCAACCGAGGGAGTACAAAGATTATCGGCCAAAGTATTACGATTGGGCGCCCACCGACTCGTCGTCGCATCTGGAATATAAGCAGACCACGGTGCATCCTAAAGTGGTATGCGACATTCCCAAGAGCTCGCCCGTCTTTGTAGACGCGCACGCGAACGTTTCTAAAACGGCGAATGTTAGTTCCACACCTAGATCCGACAATTACAGGTAAATGTAATAATGAAAGCGAAAGTATAATTTAAATTATACTGAATAGCTTCTCAATAAATTCAAAAATTAAAAATTGAATTTCTATAATTCTATACTTGTACTTTTTTATGATATACATTTATATTTCAGATGTGCACAATAATTTTTTGCAACAATCTAAAATATTTTTGTTTAAACTGAGTTAATAAAAAAATAGGGAAATATGTTATTTAAAACTAGTTTTAAGAAAACTCAAATAATTCGGTAAAACGTTTTATTCTTTATATTTATTATTCAAATGTTCGATAGAGAGAGGAAGAAAGTGAGAAGTGATGAACGCGGTGTTTTCATACATAGGCTACGCAAAAGGATTAAGGAGGGTAAAGGTCTCCTCCGCTATGCAATACACATACACGAAGTGTCTGTCATTCCGAAGACTCTTTGAATTCACTTTCACTCATGTGCTCGCGGCCATGTTAGGCTCGCGTACAACAGTCCGCGATTGCGAGACGACTAACCGCTAATGGCGAATAATCTTCTAACGCATTACCCAACAGGAAAGATTTTGCTCATGGGGCTGTGGCGGCGAGATCTTCCTTAGCGAGCAGCGACAGTGAGCTATCGCAACCGAATACGAGACCGCATTCCAGGCAAGCCGTCAGCAAGAACAAACCCATACGGTCTAGGTACGTTCGATATAATCTGGTCCCCTCGACTTCTGCTTGAGATAACGATTACCCGCCCCTGAGAATGTTTCCCGAAATAATAGCGATGTCGACGATGTATGATAATAGAAATGCCTGCCAACAGGTTTTCCCAGCTTTGAATGACGTCTATAATTTTTATACATCTCTCTCTTTATACTGAAGCGCGAACAATACATAATTCTTTTTCAAATCAAAAAAAGGTAAATATGACAGATAGTAATTTTCTTTATAATTGTTTCCAGAATTGTTCTACTTTAAAGTAAAAAAATTAAAATTATTTTATTTATTTTATTATAAATTTACATTAAAGATCTAATTTTTGTTGTTTTTTTATAAATTCGGTGTTTACAATTCTTTGATGTTATTTTTAAATATTTTTTATAAATATTTACAATATTTTTTTGTGCTCGTTCCAGTATGCATAAAACTTATAGCTCAGTTCATTATCCCGATAATATAGTCGATATTCGATGTGGCAGCTTGGCTTGCACTTCCGTTGCAAGTTAATGAATATGAGTATTAATGTTTGCTAAACATACAGTATTAATGAAATCTACTAATCGCACCCGTAGGTAAGAATTCGAGCGTATCGTGCGACTACTAATTTTTGGCTTTCTGATTTTTTATCGTGCGCAGGTTTTAAGGTGGGCGTAAAGTAAGTAGTCTTAACACCTCTAGTCATCTAACAACGCTTCATTAAACCAAGCCAAGCAAATATGGTCGCGCTTCTAACTACGTATTGGGCGAGGATGGCACATAAGTGGCAAGCATCGTGCGAGAATGGGTAAACCAACGCATCACAATTATCGAACGCGTTACGTATATTTGAAAAAAAAATCATCGCTCCGCTATATTGCGTCTTGGTTTATCTTCCGACGCGTTGAACGCCAGCCAACGTTCTCCGAGTCTTGCGTCTGTATAAAGACTATGCTAATATTTTACTAGATTCTCAACTCGCCTAGAATAGATGTTTGCCTTGGCGTTCAGCGCGTTGACAAATACAGCAGAGACGTCTCACATGTGCTCGATCGTAAAATATTGATTTTCTACGAACGGAAAGTGGTTTTCCTTTGAAAAGGAGGGCTCCAAAAATTTTATAAAAATTTTATAAAAATTTTATAAATATATAACGACTTTTATATCAATGATTATAAATTTATGTAAAATATTTGAAATTTTTTAAAACAGATATATTATTTAGATGGTTTATATAATAAAATTATCTTTATATACAAATTACTATATCATTTATATTGAATTCTTATTACAATGTTATTGTAATGAGAAATTTGTCATGAGTCGTGACATTCTCTGCTGATATCAAAGTTGGAAAAACGGGAAAGGGATGTGAAATAGAGCGAAAAGAGTAAGAAACGATTAATCAGGTCGGCAAGCCCAACACGCAGCGAGGAAGCCATCAGCACGGAGGACGAGACGCCAGTGGAGCCAATCAAACAGGAACGAAACCTTATGAATGGTTTCATATTGAACGGTGTGCAGCCTTTTGTGAGGGAGAAGAGCTACCGACCCATTTCTTTCAATCCCCAACCGCCTCCGCCTATTCCGAGTTAGAAGCCATATTGCGGATCTTAAAGAGTACTGTATCTATCTTAACAAAACTGTGTAAAGAGAATTCGATGTATGTTATTCATATATTTTCTGGCGTACGCGAAATGTCGAATCTAAAAAATTTATTTTGTGGATTCTTCTTCGATCTATATTATATTTGAATCAAAATGAAGATCGTTTAGATAAGATTGACAATTTCTTGTACGTCAGCCCGTTAAATATTAAGCCGAAGGATTTTTACGAAACTTTATAAACGAAGATTTTATACCATTTTACAAAGAAGTAGTTGTTTATACGATTTATAGAGAATGTTTTTCGAGAATCTTCCCTATTTTCTGCAAGCGTACATAGCGCAAACACGGTGATCATTCATCGCGCAGCATTCTATGTACGTGAAACTAATGTCAAGTAATATCTTTATATGATGTGTAACAAGTAACACGATCTAACTCCTAACCAAATGTGTTCCGTACGACTCTCAGTACGTTCATCTACTATTTATATTTTTGTCGTAAATATATTAACAAAACAAATGGAATCAAAGATTATAAGCTTATTCATGCGCGGCGTATCGTTTTATAGGCAATTATAAAAACACGCCGCGGGAAAAAATACCAATAATACCGGGTGTATACATTTACTCAAACAGGTTTAGGGCAGTATCTTGTAATTATGTACAGGTAACAACCGCAGGCAACTGCAAATATTTGCTCATGTAATGTAATCAAACAAAAGATAATGTTGTTATTAACTGAATGAATTTCTTCTTTTATCCTTGCCCCGTTCAACCTACATCTTCAACAAATTGAAGTTATGTGTGTGAATCAGCTAAGGTAAATGAAGTTTGCAATTTTCACATTAATATATAAAAAAAAAATTCAATTCTTGTCTGATTAAGAGAACTTATAATTCTTAATTTCCGTATAGTTTTCAACGTTTGTTTGAATTTCATTTTTTTCGCGGTCTTTGATCTCGCCTTTAAAATCATCTTGAAGTTAGACAAATAAGACATGACAAGCGTGGATTTCAGATCGATTGACAATCATTTGTTTTACTGTGTCTACTTGTTCACACATCTTGAAAAACTGAACAAAAGATAAGAAATGAGTTCATCAACTTTTCCGAGAAACATTGCGCCATCGACTTCCTCTTTAGCTAATATGTATGTTCTTATTACATTCATTTCTTGATAAAATTGTTTTATATAGATACTTAAATAAATCTTTCGAAATTAAATTTTGCAAAGCATTTGTTACAAATTTTCTTGCCAACAAGAAAACAGAATTTGCTATAACAAAATACAATATTGAATACAGAATGAATCTATCAATAGATATGACAGATCGATTGCAGAAGTCGAGCAAATCTGTCATTTCGTAATCATTTAAATGAAATGGCAGATTCTACAATGGCTGACTATGTTGACTATGAATAATCGAGCAAGGCGAGTTTCAAGAGCCTAGAGAACATTATTTTTATGATAATCTTTTCTTATTTTTTATTTTCAAATGTTTTTATTAATTTTTTGATTAATTCAATGAACTTTGCCAAACATTTCACTATATAATATTTCCTATATTGAAATTTGCATTTTATTTTAATTTGTCTAAAGACAATAGAACTCTACCGAGGCTCAAACTGTCCAATTATGTACCTAACGCTTTTTGCTTGATTAAGAGTTAATGAAGACACAGTCTGTGCCAATCTGTTGTAATATTTCTCTGGAAAGTTGCTATGTTGCAAAAAATTTTGCTTCCTGAATTGCTTTTCAATAATTGGTTGTATTCAATGATAAATAATATCGTTATATCTGTATTTCATTAATGTATATTTCACTACAGACAAGTATACTTTGAGTCAATATTGAATGAAAGTAGCAGCGATGAAGAAGAACTCAACATAAATATTCCAGCATCGCAATCAGGCGTAGCGGCACAGAACATTAACGGGTCTACCGTGCAAAACGACAATTTTACGGATAGGGACGAGGCTTGTATCAAATTAATTTTGGAATTTTTTTTTAAAAAGATCGCAATTTCTTTTTTCTCCAAATATTAATTTGTACAAAAAATACAACTCATAATCATGCCGGAAGCAAGCAAATTCTCGTTAATACGAATTGCGTTATTAGCATTTGATTATTGTTATTAATTAAGATTTTAGAGATTTATCTCGCGTTCATACTTTGTGAATCTTATATAAATACAAGTCACATCTTCGCAGATCATTTTGTCGATGATCTGGTCGAACAATCAATTGGGCGCGGCGTACTACAACATCCTCACGTCCGAATTGTTCGTGATGGACGATACTTATGATGACGGCGTTCACTTCAACATCGCGAAGACCCTGTACAAGCAATGTCAGCCGCGCTACGTCATCACGATCTCCGGCACGTCCGACGAGTTCCTCACGGCAATCGAGGCCCTAGTAATGTCGGAAATGTCGAGCGATCGGAGCAGGTCGTCGGGATTGAGCTCGGGGCCGTCTCAGGTCTCACTGAGGGTGATGCGGAAGAGAGAACACGGCTTCGACAGATGCTATCACAGAGTACGATGTCTCAAGCTCCGGTCCGAACCGGTGAACGCCAACAACGTCGAGAGGCTTATCTTCCTACAGGGCTTGTTGAACTTCAAATCGATCGTCATGATCCACGCGCTGGGTCTCCTCTTGATTTACATCGACCAGCATTGGAGTAATATCGCGTTAGATCCTTCCGGCAGGCCTGGCTTTGTGTCTCTGTCTAGCGTGACGTTGTGAGTTTCTCTAATCTAACGATAGGATTAAATACTTTAGGTACGGTACACTGGTAGTAGTGGAGTTTAATTTGCTGATAATTCCTTGGAGAATGTTGTCTTACGAGAGAAAGACTCGAGTCTTCATTAGATTTCACGTTAATTTCTGAATGTTTTTATTAATCTTTTATTACTCGCATATAGATATTCTGTAATAAACTTTAAATTTGATAAATCTGCTATTATTTACGTTATTATGTTTAGCAGAAATTATTTCTATACATATAATAATTTTAAATTATTATTATTATTTTATTTTTATAATAATTTAAATTGTTTTTATAATAAAATTTTTTTTGTAATTTTATCTTTATCTACAAAATATATAAAATATTATCGATCTTTATAACATAGAGAATATTATCAATTTTTAATTTAATTGTAAATCAAAGACAACAATAAAAATTGAGACATAATATTGGAATGCCAGAAATGTTGAAATGACAGCAAATAATTTCATAGCTTGCTATCTGGAACACGAGTAATATAAGATTAATCGTGATCATACTCTCCTCCAAATTTATTGTAACAGTTTACAATATTTGTAGCCCGTCCCGAAAGACTTTCTAGCTTTATAATAGATGGATGCTTCTAACAAATTGCGTTTTATTCACGCATGGTCGTTTCTTTGTTGCACACGGGATTTCGTAGACGTGACATCGTCATGATAGATGATGACACTTACGAGGCGCTGAATATCGTGCATGCCAGACATCACCCGAGTCTTTTCAAGTGTGGCGATGCAGCAGCGAAGAAGCAAAGTGGCAGCTTATTCATCCTTCTGAATCGTTGCCAATCGCGACCTGGAGCGCAATTTTTATGGCACGTTATCCTCTCGTTTTTTATATAACTTGTGACGTTATTGTATTTTACTCAGAGACTCTTTTATAGGAAAACGTTGCGACATCCCATTCGAAATATCGAGATTCTTAACGAAAGATTCGAAGTCATCGACTTCTGTTTGAATCCGGATAATCACAGTATCGTGGAAAATCTGACGTCGTGTTTAAAACACGTTTACCGCTTGACTAACGTCATTCTAGATCGATATTTAGCACAGCAAGCTAAAGTTTCTGATTGGCGACGATTGCATAAGGTCTATCACGTTTTCCAGTTTTAATCAGGCAATTCAATAATTTATTTGCGGTACCTATTACGCTCGCATGTTCTACATTCTATTTTGTATTTCATGTCGCAGACGGTTTCCTCTATAATTTACATCGCCGATATATGCGAGAAACACTGTAAGAAAGTAAGGCTGTTCCATAAAATCGTCAGCAGTATCACGAATGAAGTACGTTACATCAAGTATTTCATTGAGTACATAGTGGACTTTGGTGCGAAAAGATCCGAGCATGATTTTATCGTACGCTCAAATGTGGATTCGCATTTAGACAATCGTAAGCTGATCTTGAACTTTTTATCGAACCCTGCTATTTTGTTCAAATTTATTCAGGCGTATGATCACATAATTTAATTATTATATGATCTAAAAAATAAAAAATAAATTTTTACAGAGAACAAAATCTTACATTAACAAACTAGTGTCTTTTTTCATCAATACAGATTGACTTTAATCTCAACTTACTATTTATCTTTTTTTAATTTTAAGAATTAGATTAGAATTAGAATTAAAATACTCTACTTTTTAAGCCGAAAAATAAATCCAAACAAAATAGCAGAGTTATCTATATAGCACAGATCATTCTAGTAATATTGTAATAACATTACTGTAAACTATGCTACACGGATAATAATATAACTTTTGAAAATTACATTATTATTGCACGGTGAATATTATTGCCGATTGTTTTCATTACGTATTACATTATTCGAATATAGTACACCACGTAAGAAGCACTTTGCCCGAGACCCTGACACAGATGGTAGAGAAAGACATGAAAGAATATCTTCCGGCTTCGGTAACGACCTGCAAGATGGTGTACATACCGAATATCGGATATCTCTTAGCGATAACTGGATGGAGCCCATCACCGGTCGACAATGTGGACTTGGAAAATCTAGAGTTCAAATTCGTCAGCAACAACATACGTTATTATAAGAGTCCCACCGCCAAAGGTTCCATTATTTTCTAATTTTTACAACTTTAAATATGCATCATAATGCATTTAAATACATAATTTTTTTTGCGTCCGTTTGAAATTGAAATCGGTTTTTTAGAATTGGACGAAACTATAGGAGATATATTACTAAGAATAAATAAACGAGAAAGTTACATTATGTTAAAGCTTGTGAAGTATATAAATAAGCACGCTGCGTCGATCTTCAACGCGATTCAATTGTGCGCCGAATTAGACACGTGAGTAAATTAAATACATTATGAATTCTACAAAGAAACTTTGTGCGAACTAACGTCAGTGATAATGAAAAATAAAAAGAATATAATTATAATTAATTAGATAAAAGAAAAGATAAAATATAATTATAATTAAAAGAATTAAACAGTTACAAGTGAAAATCAGACCGATAAGAATAAATCAAATAAGAGAAAGAATTCTATTTTCTCAGTCAAATGGTTATTGCGATAAATATTTCCACGTATCTTGATAGTCGAATTGATAAGTCAATCTTAGAAAGTCAAGAGTTCCAGATTCAAACCCTGACTGAAATAATATTTTTTGCAATAAATTCTTTGTAGTGTTTTAAAATGCATATATTAGCATTCGATGATCAATGTAGTTTGTAATGTTAAATCTATTTTTCGTTTATGATTGCGTTTCAAGTCTAATCACAAACTAAACCGGCGCGCAGTTTATAGAACTGAACAATATATTTGCAAATCTATAATATATAAATGAATATTATTAAGCATCAAGAAACTATTTTTGTTTTGAACCAAGAATAAGATTTTTCCTGTTATAAAAAGAATTAATATTAAAATAAAAGAAGAAGCTCTGAATTCCTTAGAAGATTTTTAGTCATCTTCTAGTGTGGGAATGA